GACCGGGCAGCCTTTTATTCTGTTGTGCCATGAGTCAAAGGGCCAACTCTGTGCTGACTAACCACAAGCATTCTGACCAGGAGGCACACATTCAAAGATTCTTTTATAACACTGTCTCTTTTTCTAGTACATGCAACATTTCCTAAATAATAAGGCAAGAAAGAAATGTACATCTTGTGGACTTTTGCAGAGCAAATAATGAATAACATCCTTAAAAAAAATCCTTACTGTAAACACAGTGATAGGTTCCATTGGGCTCGTCATGATGATTTATTAATACCATACCCAGTATTCATCACAAATGAGTTCTTAGGTTCTTAAAACTGATGTATTTGAAGTAGCTGAGCACCTCTCCCTCCCTCCACATGCTAACACTATTAATCAGCTAAGAATAACTTCAGCCCTCCTATCAGAAAAGTGTGATATATCACACATTCTGAATTACTGGAACCTGGATCTCGGACATGTTGAAAGTGGCAAGTCCCAGTTAGACTTAACTTTTTCTTGAGAGGATCATATGTAGCAGACTTTGAATGTTTTGATAGATAAAGTAAGGAAGTCAGAAGTTGGGAAATGAATGCGGAATGACTTGAATCAACGTGAAAAGCAATTATATTAGCATCCAGGGGATTTGGCCTGGAACAAACCAACCAAGAACTCCATTCATTCTCCACTCACCTCTTCCTCTGTTCCTCTACTTATTTTCCCATCCAGATTCGAAGCAGAGTCTTTAGGCCTAGAACTTGTACCTAGAGGATATCTCAATGCTGAGTGCAATACAAATGATAAGCAGGACATGGGTCTGTCCTAAAAATCTGAAGTGATTTTATTAGAGAAGATGCAAAATTAAGATGAGCTATAATTACATTACATTACTGTATTTCCAAGTTTAGGTTTGCTCACTTCAGAAATCACTATTCACTCATGTACTGAACTGGGAAGGAGGTAGGTGAAACAGGTGGCCTATTACTAGATCCATTAAACAAGAGATTTATGCATTACATATCCATCTTGAGGCAATTAGGCTGATCTTTTTTTTTCTTTTATGGCTTCATTGAAAGCTCCTGGCAATAAAGCAATTACAAAGTAAGTATCCTACCATTTACCTATGATATCAAAGGTAATGGCCTTCTCATGCATTAAAAGTAGTGGGCCCCTTTCCATTTTTTCCTGAGAAATGTAGTACACTCAAAATAAAATTGCAGTCCTGACAGATATATACATATGAGAATGTCTAGTGTAAAAATGGAAAATATTATGTAGGAGATCATTTGGTGTAAGTGTAAAATTATTCTTCGTGATTTTAAGGAAATTTGAATTGTGACCCGATAACAGTCTACCATTTAAAATCAGATCTAGCTGTTAATATGGATTAGAGTGCTTTACTATGTCCTCCAACAAGGGCATTGTTTCACTTAATACTCACAACCCTACAAACGATGACCATCATCATCTTTATTTCACAGATGTGGGCACTGAGGCTAAAAGAGTTTATATAAGTGGTATGAGGCCAAACAGCTAAGTGAATGGTAGAACCTTAGGTTAATTCAGGTGGCCTAAGTGTGCACACAATATTAACGATTTGATGCTAACTATTTTAAACATGGATATTTGAACATGCCACTATTTGTGGCAGCATGGTGCCAAAATATTTGCAGGATAAAGAAAAGAACCCCATAATTATCTAGCTATGAATGTCACAATCATATCTCATGGTAAAAGGGAGCAGACCATGGTTGGGTCAGGAAGTCTAGTCAGATCTAGTTAGATTTTGTCACAAGTAAAGGGCCAGAGCATGGAGGAAAGCATGCCCTCTGCAATCAGATTCCATGACTCACTGTTTCTGGCCAAGCAGCACCCGATTAAACCAAGAGCATGGATGTTTATGTGGGAATTAAATGAGATCAGTGATTGAGATGAGAGAAAGACATTTCCGGGACCCAATCATGATACCATGATTGCCAAAAAGAACAAACCAATCTATATTGGAAGAAGTAATCTAGACTGCTTCTTACAAGCAAGGATGGTGAAACTGCATCTTTGGACATCTGAGCAGGAGAGACAAGTCCTTGTAAAAAGACATGATGCTTGGTAAAGTGAAGGGGCAGCAAAAAACAAGAAGGCCCTCAAAGAGATGGATTGACACAGTGGTTGCACCAATGGGCTCAAACATAAGAAAAATGATGAGGATGGTGCAGAACTTGGCTGTTTTGTGGCTCTTAGTCTTGCCTTCACATTAGAAATAACTAACCAAAAATCCTGACCAGCTGCACCCTAGCCCAAATACATCAGAATCATCATGGTGATCAAGGCATCATACGTTTTGAAAGCTCTCTATTGACTATAATTGCAGCCAGGGGTTAGAGTGACAGAACTAGGTTTGGAGAAGCAAATGTGGCCAGGTGCCAATGAGTCAGCTGATTCATAGAGGCCCTATGTATAACACAATATAATGCTGCCTTCTCCTGTACCAAAGGAGTCACAAGAAATCCATCCACTCCCCTAGTTCAGTGGTTCTCAACCTTCCTAATGCCACGAACCTTTCATACAGTTCCGCATGTTGTGGTGATCCCCCCAACCATAAAGTGATTTTTGTTGCTACTTCATAATTGTCATTTTGCTACTGTTATGAATTCTCATGTAAATATCTGACATGCAGGATGTATTTTCATTGTTACAAATTGAACCATAATTAAAGCATAGTGATGAATCACAAAACATGTAATTATATATTGTGAAATATTTATGTCTAATGACAAATCAATGAAATTTTGTCTTGAAGCATGGTGTAGCATAGGTAACAGTCTTCACGCCGGGTACTCGTAGTGAGCATATCTGCATGTGGGCAGACCGTCTAGAAACAATAGAGGAGCGGTGTCTTGGTTGCTAAGACCATCGGAAATATGTGTTTTCCAATGGTCTTAGGCGACCCCTGTGAAAGGGTCGATCAACCCCCAAAGGGGTCGGGACCCACAGGTTGAGAACTGCTGCCCTAGTTACCGTGCATATAGAAAGTATCCCCAAATCTAGGGTGGGATTGATCCTAGTGTTAGGTGCCGTCCGGTTGGTTCTCAGTCCTAGAGACCCTGTGCACAACAGACCCAAACACGGCCCGCCCTGCACCAGCCTCACAACCTTTGTTGTGCTTCAGCCCATGGATGCAGCCACTGTGTCAATTGTCTGCCTTTGCCTGCCTTTCTCCTTCACCAGCATGGCCTTTTTTCCCAGGAATTGATCTCCCCTGATAACATGTCCAAAGTATGAGACAAAGTGTCACTACCCTCACTTCTAAGGAGCATTCTGGTTGTACTTCTTTCAAGATAGATTTGTTTGCTCTTCTGGCAACCCATGCATGGCACTTTCAATAGTCTTCACCAAAGCCATAATTCAAATGCCCCGATTCATCTGCTGTTTTATGTAATTAAATCCTCGACAGCTTTAACCTTTTCTCCATTTATCATGAGTCATCTCTTGGCCTAGTTGTGAGGAGTTTTGGTTTCCTTTGCACTAAATTGAAATCCATGCTGAAGGCTACAGTCCTTTATCTTCAACACAAATGCTTCAAGTCCTCCTCACTTTCAGAATGGAAGGGATTGAACCTATATTCATGAATTACTAGTACCAGCTCTGAATATTAATGTATCCAGGTAAGCATGTCATTGTATTTGTTGCTAACTAATGCTAAAAAGTCCAGATGGCTCCAAATTTGATTGATGCATGATTCTGAGTATCCAGATGTTTGACATCATGTAGGAAATTAATTTGGTTAGCTAAGTGAAATTTGACATTTTATCTAGATGCATTTATATATGAAAGTATTAACTAATATATCTGCTATAATAATTACTATTATAAGCCATTTTTAAAGTATGAAATAATATAACCAACATAATATAGTCATTATAATGACTCAAATATATTTTATGCTAAATTATTTTTTCTCAAACTAAAAAATTTCATATAGTAAACGCTTGATAATACCATCTACAAACTTATCAGAGTCAAAGAATAAAACTCCAGTGCTTGAAGTCTAGGGTTTGGATACTTTTTAAATTCATTGATGGCCCCCTATGTATTTGAATTCTTAATATTTGTTTTATTATATGTTAGAAATGTGAACTATTAAGGCTATATGATATTAGCAAAGTTATAGGAATAACATATGTGAATATGCTGGTCCACGGTAAATGCTAGAAAATGTTAAAATTTAATGAAATGTCCCCAAAACATGTATTCGTCTGGTTAACCTGTGAGTTGTAGTTGTATAAATGTGGTCTATTATGCCACTCAGTGGTGAAGGTGATTTGCATCACCCAGGCATGTGCAGGTTCATGATGTGCATGTAAACATCAGAAGACTGTTTTCTTTCCTCTTAAGTGCCTTGATGTTATATAATGTCCATTCAAGACTACTAGAGAATTATATATTAATACAAGGTACAGTCAATTGGCTCTACGCTGCTCCCATTTTGTTGTTGTTGCTGTTGCCCTCAAAATCCCTACGTGAGTACTTAGCTCATGTAATGTAGCTGGCACAATCCAGATGCCCTGAACTTGGGTACTCATGCTCTGTTAGAAATAAATAAGAACCGTAATAGAAACACAATCTGGCTCACATCATAAGATCAAACAAGCTGAATCTAATGGAGCACTCTAAACAGCTGCAGTCATTGCAAACACAACAGCATAGTCATATCCCTGGGTGGCGAGTTTCCTTCAATCTGTTTGCACACACACAATTACCTTTGGATTATTGAGTCTTTCCCTTGTTAAAGTTCTGCATGACTCTGTAGCTTAACTATCTGAATGTAATTGAGTGATCTGGGGAAATGGGTGGGTCATAAATCGTTTCTGAAAAAAAAGAAATAAGTATGTGGCATAATTTTTAACTTGAAAAGATATAAAATCTACAATCTTGATTGTATTGCAGCTTAAAATTGGGTTAAAAAATAAATTAAGGCTTTGGCAACAGATTTCCCCCCTTATCTTTCTTTATTTAATGCAGGGGAAGCAGGAACGCAGTCCCCCACTCTCATAAATCATGCAGTCGAGTTTCTCACATTTGGGGAAATCGCAGGGTCAGCACATCCGGAGTGTAATGGATGAGCCTCGCCCTGGGAAAGCCACCTTCGTGATCATGGTATCTCCCCTGTCAGGTAGGTGTGGCAACAGTTCTCTTATGTAGCTGTAGGATGATTAGTTTGTAGTACATCTCTCTCACTGCCGTCGAGTTAATTCCAACTTCTTGTAACCCTACAGGGTAAAGTAGAACTGCCCCTGTGGGTTTCTGAGTCAGTAAACCTTGTGGGAGTAGAAAGCCTCGTCTTTCTCCTATAGAGCAACTGGTGGTTTCCAACTGTTGACCTTGGTGTTAGCAGACCAATCTGTAACTCAAACTAAGTACTTATTAAAATTGCTGTAAAACAATGTCTAAAGTAAAGGCAAAAGGGGCACAGGGAAAAAGCTACTGTATACAAACACTGCAGGGGTGAGGTCTAGGTAGTACGGCAGGGGCCAGACCAAATGCGGAGGTACATATGGTAGCCAACTAAAAAGGGGTTGGAGGGAGGAAAGGGGAAAGAAAAAAAAAAAGATGTTTGATGGGGGAATAGGGCACTGACCCACCCAAGGGGAGGGTATTGTTTATTTCTACACAGGGAAAGAAGGATGAGACTTAAAACCAGTGCCAGACAAATGCAGCGTGCTGGCAAGGAGTGGGGCACCTGTGGAGGGGCCTGAAGTCTTGGCCACCATACCAGCTACGTGGACAACTGGCCCTCTACCCAGAAGAATTTACTTTAGAGGGCGGCACTGAAGCTGCAGCTAGGGGAGAGGGGCATGTCTGATCAGACCACATGGGAGCAAATGAAGGGGGAGGAAGAGAGAGTGGAACACATCCTGGCCCACCAAGCCTGGAGGACGATATCCCGGCTCTGAACAGCCAATGCACAGAGTGGACTATATGGCTGAACCCACTATGAGACACGCCATCCCTTGCTGGCCCAGGGCCCTAAGGGGGACACTGGATGGACCCCGCGACACAGAGGCAAACCACTAAAGGCATGCGGCACAGCAATCGTGGGAGCAGAGCAGGGAGCCCCCGAGGGACTACAAAGGGCCCACACTGGGGCCAGAGTGTGGCACCCCATCAGTCCTGATTGAAGGACACACCTAGAGATAAAAAATCAGACCTTGATCTATTTATAGGTTTTTCTTTCTTTAATTTTTTTTCTTTTGTTTAATTTATTCTTTTACGGGTCATTGGTTTTCTTTTTGTTGTCATCGCTGTGTTCTCATTCATCGCCTATCTTGCCATGGCTTGATTTTTGGTGCATATTATTATCTCTACAGATCTATCTAGATAAGATAGTCTGGATGAACTGTCTGGAGAAGAAAACAACGGGACCAATGGTTCCGGGGGGACACGGGAGGGGGCGGCGGGGGTAAGGTGGTGGTGCTGACCAACCCAGGGACAGGAGAGCAACAAGTGACACAAAATCAGTGGCAAGGAGGGTGTGAGAGGCCTGGTAGGGATTCAGCAAGGGCAATGTAACAGAGAGAAATTACTGAAACCCAAATGAAGGCTAAGCATGATCGCGGGAAAAGAGAAAAGTAAAAGGAAATAGAGGAAAGAACTAGGCAACAAAGGGTATTTATAGAGGTCTAAATAAAGGCATGTACATATGTAAATATATTTATATAGGAGGGTGGGGAAATAGATCTACATGCATATATTTATAGGTTTAGTATTAAGGCAGCAGATGGACATTGGGCCTCCACTCAAATACTTACTAAATGCACAAACACATTGTTCTATTAAATTGGCATTCCATGATGCACACCTTCATGACACAATTGCTGAAGAAAAATGTGTGCATAAGCTAATGTGGTGAAGAAAGCTGATGGTGCCCAGCTATCAAAAGATATAGCATCTTTGGAGTTAAAGGCTTGAAGATAAACAAGCGGCCATCTAGCTGAGAAGTATCAAAGCCCACATGGAAGAAGCACACCAGCCTGTCTGACCACGAGGTATAGAAGGGACCAGTTATCAGACATCAAAGAACCAAAAATCATATCAGTGAGTGCCCACCTTCCCGATACAATCACTGAAGACAAATGTGTGCATAAGTAAATGTGGTAAAGAAAGTTGATGGTGCCTGGCTATCAAAAGATATAGCGTCTGGGGTCTTAAAGGCTTGAAGATAAACAAGCACCCATCTAGCTCAGAAGCAACAAAGCCCACATGGAAGAAGCACACCAGCCTATGTGACCACGATCTGTCAAAGGGATCAGGTATCAGACATCAAAGAACAAAATATCATATAATTGTAAATGAGGGTGTGTGCAGAGTGGAGACTCTAAGCCCATTGGAAGGTAACTGGACACCCCCTTACTGAAGGGTTGTGGGGAGGAGATGAGCCAGTCAGGGTGCAGGGTAGCAAGAATGAAACATATAACTTTCCTCTAGTTCTTTAATGCTTCCTCCCCTCACTAACATGATCTCAATTTTACCTTACAAATCTGGCTGGACTAGAGGATGTACATTGGTACAGATAGCAACTAGAAACACAGGGAATCCAGGAGAGATGACCCCTCCAGGACCAGTGGTGCGAGTGGTGATGCCTGGAGAGTGGAGGGAATGTGGGGTGGAAAAGGGGAACCGATTGCAAGAATCTACGTATAGCCTCCTCCCTGGGGGGTGGACAGCAGAGAAGAGGGCAGGGGGAGACGTCGGACAGTGTAACATATGACAAAATAATCATAATTTATGAATTATGAAGGGTTCATGAGGGGGAAATGAGGAGCCGATATTAAGGGCTCAAGTAGAAGGCAAATGTTTTGAGAATGATGATGGCAACAAATGTACATATGTGCTTGATACAATGGATGGATGTATGGATTGTGATAAGAATTGTACAAGCCCCCAATAAAATGATTTAAAAAACCAATCTCTAAAAGTACTATATTTTCAAATGAATAACTAGTGTCTTTAAGGTTTTTGCCAAACATGTCCTCCATCCCAAGGAGATATTCTCTTGAGTATTCGCTCACTGCCCTTGAGTTGATTCCAAGGTAGAGCCACCCAGAGGCTCTGCATGTTTATGGAGCAGAGAGCCTCAACTTTCTCCTGTGCAGAGGTAGGTAGGTAGGTTTGAACTGCTGACCTTACAGTTAGAAGTCCAATGCTTACCCACCAGATACCCATGCCACCAGAGCTCCTTATTTTTCTAAGAACACTATGCCCCACTCACCAAAGCCTACTGCCATTGAGTCAGTTCCAACTATAGTGACCCTATAGCACAGAGCAGAATTGCGCTCAGAGGGTTTCCAAAACTGTATTAGGAGATTCCATTTTCACATAGTTATACTATGCTAACTGCTTTTCACAGTGCTGTAAAAATTGAGCATATCTTTCTTATGAAAATACAGGGGTGGCACAGAATTGACAAAAATACATATAACACATTGTTTTTGTACATATACAATACATTAAAATGCAGCTGAAAAGCAGTATCTGAATGATTACCTCAGGTTGTGTATCTCAAAATGGAAATGACAGCAATTCATTGAGCACAGATGTGTGAGCAGTATGGGTGCAAATAAAGATGAATCTAGTTCAAAGTGATCCAAAAATAAGTGGAATATCTCGTCCTGATATTTAATTCTTACACCATGAATGGTCTCCAATGATAAGTTTCACAATTTGAGAAGTTCTCATGAAGGCAAGGGCCCATTTTGTAGTCTATAATAGAAAAATCCTATTTAGAAAAATTACTTGATTGTCATCAGAATAACCACCACCATCTTGGTAAGTGTGCTTGGTACACTCTTTCCACTTAACAGTTTGACTTCTACCTAGGTTCTAAAGAAGTTTGCATTTTTAAAAGAACAACAAAAGAGACCACAGGATTTGGGGGAATTTAAAGTGAAAAGCAGGCTTTCCTGGGCTAGATAACATTAAACAAATTTAATTAATGCCGGACTTCTCTGACGCTTCAATATGCATTTTTGAATTGAGAACAAAAAGACATTCCCACCCACACTCAGCCTGTACACCAAGAGCAGAAAGCACAGCATACTCTGTATTAACATGGCTTTGCTGTTCCACTGTCTCTTTAGCATTTCTTTACTCTCTCAGGACTGTCTTGCCTAAGCAAATGGTTTTGTTGTTCATTAAAGGAAATTCCAGAAAGACTCAACAACTCTTCAAAGGAAATAATCCAGAGACAGTTGAGCCTTTAGATTCTTTCAATCTTCCACTTAAAAGTCTAGCCTTTTGCTATTTCCACCAATCTGGACTGTGGTGTAATGATTCTTACCCATTCTGAATCAATAACCACATTGAATGGCTTACCTTAAACCACTCTTTAAATTTTTAGTAAAATCTGTCCTTACCTTCCCTACTTCCAGACACCACCAAAGTTTTGTGGAAGTGTTTTCCTCCTAATATACCCTTAGAAACCTTTAGGGTCACTATGAGTTGCATTTGACTTGATGGCACTGAACTTTGAATTTTTTTTGTTTTGCTCTAAGAAATAATAGGTCTTACTGATGATACTTTGATTGACCTCATGACAGAAACACTAACAGGGGATATAGGCCTATTCTAAAGTGGATCACAATAGAATGTCCTAAATAGAGTAGGAAAAAAATATAGAATAAATTCAAAATCATAAAAAAAGATCAACTCCGAATAAAGACTGGTGGAAGCCCTGAAACTTTGGGCCCTTAGTTATTTTTCAGATCTGGAAATGAACTCACTCCCATGACTCAATTGCCAGTTAAACAATAGATAGGTCTATAGAGGGAGCAATACCATGGGGGAGATACACACACCTTAAAACAGTCAACCATCTGAGATCAAAAGAGCAGCATTTGCCCAAGGACAAAGTTTAGAAGGGTTAGACAAGGAAGAACAGAAACAGGAAACACAAAGAGGAAGTGAGATGTTTTATTTGAAACAACATGTGTATGAATTACTGAATGGAAAACTGATCTGCTCTGGGTTATGTGAGGGAAACAGACCCCAAATCAAACACATTGTGTAGAGATCCCTTTATTAAGTGTTAAGCATGACAAAAATAAGACAAAGATCAATCATCCAATGAGGGAAACAATCAGCCCAAGGTCATAATGGTATCCAAAGGTCATAATGGTATCCAA